GAGCCCCCCCCCCCCCCCATCCCCTTAGGACTGGTGATGATGAAGTAGCAGCAGGAGAGATGGAGGTAGAACAGATTCACAGAACTGATGTCAAGAAGCTGCCGGTTTGCTGGACTACCCGTGGGTGGAGTTAAGGTTTCTAGATTCAAACGTGGCAAGCAGCCAGCAGAGCTTAGCAAATAGTAACCACCTGACCACTGTCTGCTGGGAGGCTAGTTATCCCCACCATACTGTTTAAACAATGCTTCAGCATTTTGCCTGTGTCCCTGAACCTGCTCTGCATGATATGCCATGCTGACCTGTACCAGGCCTGTCCACTCCTGCAGCTCCTCAGGTACAGCTTCCTCTCCAGCAAGGAGAACAGTAGTAGCACAGTAGTGACAGAACCAAATCTAATTCTAAATCTGGTGAGAAGAGCAGTCAGAGGCAGCAGTGCCTTAGATGATCTCATGTTGCACATACACTGAGTGGCCAGATTATTATGACCACCTGACTACCCGTGGGTGTAGGCAGATTAGCTATAATTTGGCTCTGAAGTTGCTAGAGGGCCAGACCATTATAAATAGTGAAGCAGGTTGGTTACCACGACAGTAGAAGTGATTTGTTTCTGAAGATTCGGGGAAACAACGCGATGTAACAGCCTTTGAACGCGGGATGATTGTTGGCGCTCGGAGCCATGGAGCGAGTATCAGCAAAACAGCAGAATTTGTTAAATGTTCAAGAGGGGCTCATTGTTAAAGTGTTTAAAGACCGGACTGTCAGCCGAAAATCTGGGTCTGAACGTGCGAATTGTGTCCGTCAGCGACTAGTCAATGTTAGGGCAGAACGGGGGAGGGGCAAGACTGGTACAAGACAACAGAAGGGCAACAGCGCAGTGTCAGATTCCTCGCATCACCTTTCATCATCTCGTGGAGTCACCAGGCGGCCCAACAAAGTACTGATGGGGGGGTCATAATAATCTGGCCACTCAGTGTGTATATAGCTAAGAGACTACAGAACAGGAGGCCCCCGGAAACACACTGCTGTTTATGAGGGGAAATTTCAAGGCGTAGATTACGCTGAGCATCGCTGAGGCAAAATACCAAATTTTTTGAATTTCGTTCCACTTTAAGAAAATGTCCCCTTCAATGTTATTTCAGTTGCGGTGTCATCTCGTCTATTGAATCTGGAGAGAAGCTCTCCTTCTCTTGCCAAGGAATGACGGGCCGATATGTGACCATCACCATCCCAGGACGGGCTGAACATCTTGTCTTGTGTGAAGTCCAAGTCTTCGGCTTCCCTGCCAGCAGTGAGGGTAAGGTGAAGGATTTAGTTAAAAAAACAAGAGCTGATAGAAAAGTAAAACAATTGAATCGTGTCTTTCCATCGTTACTGTAGATGAAGTGACAGTCCCAGAAGTCTTAAAGACGCCCAACGGAGGTAATGTGAATTGTTTGGTTTGTCTTTTTATCTCTGAATGCTTCATGCAATTCTTGAGTATTTATTGGAACATTGAGATTCTATCCTTACTGTAAGTTTGAACATTTTGCAGCTGTAAATGTGGCTGTGAAGGGTGTCGCCCAACAATCCAGCCTCTATAACATGTACGGCGAAGCCAAAAACGGCATTGACGGGTCTCTAGACAGCAACTATCTTCACATCCAGTGCAGCGGGACAGCAGTACAGCACAACCCCTGGTGGAGGGTCGATCTCATGGGAAAGTTTAAAGTCTTCACCGTTGCAGTGACCAATCGAGGAGACTGCTGTGTTGACAGGATCATTGGGGCCCAGATAAGAATTGGGAACTCGGCTGAAGATGGAGGAACCAATAATCCCATGTAAATCATTTCTGTTTATTTGTCTTATAGTATGTAGACTTGTGCGCCGTCAAAAAATTTGTTCCGTTTCGAAATATCCGTTATTTTGTATTTCGTAATTCGTATCCGAAACTCAATTCGGATTCGTACGAAATACGTATTTTCGTTAGTTTCAGCACATTTTCGTAACTTTACGAACATTCGTTATGATGAAGTTAAAAAGCAAAAATACCTTTGTTAATATTGGAGTCGATGTGGTAGTTGTTTTTTTATCCGAAATATGAATTCCGTTAACGGATTCCGTATCCGAATTTCATATTTCGGATAAAAAAAACCTACCATCAACTCCAATATAAATGTACTTTGCTTTTTAACTTCAATATAACGAAAGTTCGTAATGGAATGAAAATACGTCAACGGAATTTCGTATTTCCTGCCTGTGTATTGTAATGCGACTCTCAGCAGCAGCGGATCCGTATTTCGGATTTAAAAAAAAATCTTGTCATGTTGTTCAACCTCATTACAGGGGTAATATTAGTTCCTGTTTCAAAGAAATTCGGATCCGAAATTAGTTAACAGAATTTCGTATTTCGGATATAATTCGGAAACTGCAATTCGGATTTCAGATGCTTCTGAATTTCCGAATTTCAGGAAAATTCGAACGAATTTCGATTCGTAACGAAACGAATCGCACATGTCTAATAGTATGTAAACCATTACTGGATACACCAATGCAGACTTTGTACTGAACAAAAGATCATATGTCTTCATGTGTTTGTTCAAGTAGGCATTTCTGAAGATCCAAAGTTCATGTTACTATTTAGTGAAGTGCTAAAAATAGATATTTTTAATTCCAGCATCACCTATCATAGTAGTCGCCAACCTTTCGGACCTCATGGACCACTAAATTCATTCATTTTAAATCCCGTGGACCACTAATGTGAATTTCTTTAAAATATATATATATATATTCTCATATTTTTTGTTTCCTCAACAGCCTGCTCAGTCCAGGTACTGACGAGATGCCCCGCCTCCTGCAGAGCCCGCACTGTACTGAGAGCCGCGCATTCCTTGTGACAGACGCTGCTCGAGTCAGTAAGAGGCAGCCCCGGAGCCTCCATGCCACTTCAATGACGGCCCAGCCTGCATGGCATCAGAGGGGCCCGGGGACCACCAAAAAATTTTCGTGGACCACCGGTTGGCGACCGCTGATCTATCACAGTAGTTGTAGAACTGAATGTCATTTAAGGTTGTTCGGTGCATTTGTATCATAAACACGTCCAAAGTTTTTTGTTTTGTAACAATGTTTATATACCTCGTTTATTCCTTTGTTGCATCTCATTGTTGTTGATCTCCTACAGCCTCGTTCACCCATTTTCTTGTCTACCTGCACTAGCTCCAGCATTGGCTGCATGGCATTGCTCTGTACTGGCTGATAGCAACAACGATGGACCACGGCTATATGCTGTTGGCCGTTGTCCTCCAGGGGTGCATGTGACAGGGAGACAATACAGGAGGACAACTGTGAGGCAGTTACCAACCTAGAACAGGAAGTGCCTAAACAAGGACCTTCATGGACAGGGTCATCAAGCATTATCTTAATAAGTTCTCAGGAGGCCAAAATGATAAATGTACATTCTATAAAAGAACGGTTATCCATTAAGACAGCACCAGAAATTCGGGGGTAATAGGGAGCTCTCATAAGAACCAAAGTTTGTGTTGCCTGCTGCTGCTGCTGGTTTTGATGGGGACTCCAAGCTACAGTCACACCTAAATGTTTAGCTTCCTGGAGAATCAGCTGTTCCCCTTAGCACTTTCCCTGATATGTGCTTTAGGGTGATACCTTTCCCTTGCACGGTCCTATGGAGTCACCCTGGTGTGTGCTAGTAAGCTGTGTGTCTCCACAAACATATAGCACAGAAGGGCAAACCATTCCACTTCTCCTTGCTCCTCCCTTCTCCAACCAAGTAGATGGATGGCTGTTGGGGACCTTTCTCTTCCCTGTAATCCGGTACTCTTGTAGCTGATTCCTGCAGAATCATCAGGTCCCCTGAGCACTGGCCCTGATATCTTGTTTTAGGGTGACACCTTTCCATTGCCGGGTCCTTTGGAGCCACCCTTGTGTGTGCCAGTAAGCTGTGTCAAAAAGGAAGACGTCACCAGCGCTCCAACAACGATAATAACAGCGATTAGATGCTCATTTATTGACAGATGTTGTCTCTCATTGGCAAGCGCTTTCGGGGTCACACAGTGTCCCCTTCGTCAGGCTCAGAGACAGTGGCGACTCTAGGAACAATATATAGGGGGGGCACATAAGATACCACAGTCAGATCTGGGGGGGCACTAATAATTTTCATTGCATGTCGCAACCGATGGGCGCCGAGAGCTGATTTAATTGCGGATGGCATCTGCGCCCTGCGGTTGCGACAGAAGCTGCATACAGCATGTGCTGGTTACTACTTAAACCGGCGCGCTGTGTGGAGCTTCTGAGAAGATACGCTATTAGCATAGCGAGGAAGTCGGCTGCGCATTTTTCATCACTCCCGCTACGCTAATAGCGTATCTTCTCAGAAGCTGCACACAGAGCGCCGGTTTAAGTAGTAACCAGCGCATGCTGTATGCAGCTTCTGACAGCATAGTAGACGGGAGGCTGCACTTGTCGGTGGATCCAGGGATCAGGAAAATATTTTATTTTATGTTAT